GGGGGGGGGGGAGTAGAAATACTCCTAGTGGCTTCATGCTACAGAAATCGGGACAAGCTCCGGTCTGATGGGCCACTTGGCTCGTGTGCAGACTGTGTGGCGCTTATTTGTATTTTCTACTAAATAAGGTATTTCACCTTATCTGTGGACTCTCCTTGTTCCCTGTAGTAATAGAACACTTGTCTGTCATTGCCGTACTGTAACTTGTACTTGGTCACGTATTCCTGATCTAGATAAGGTCGATTTCCCTGCGTAGCTACGCGTACGACACTGATATGTTGACTGTTTATATCAACCTGGAGCCATTGATCAGGATCATTTTCTAAAGAGGACCACGCCCATCTATCCTTATAATTCAGTCTGCCGTAGCTGGCGAGGTACTCGTCACTATATTCCGTGGAAGCACTGATCTGGCTGTCGAGGATTGCACCGCTTTCCATTCCGAGAGCTTTAACATTGCACGCTAATGGTTAGAGCGGATACGAATACAGAGTTAGTATACTCTAATATAAAAATAAATAATAAAATGAATGATAAATTGCAATATTTAGAGAGGAAGCCACATCAGCCTTATCTGGTTTTCATGCAGGTCCTCTATCCTGGTTGAATTGGAATTTGAAGTGTTGGTTTTTGTGGAGGGAGGAAAACCGGAGAACCCGGAGAAAAATCCTCGGACCAAGGCGAGAACCAACAACAAACTCAACCCACATATGGCACCGGACCGGAATCGAACCCGGGCCACATTGNAGCACTGATCTGGCTGTCGAGGATTGCACCGCTTTCCATTCCGAGAGCTTTAACATTGCACGCTAATGGTTAAAGTGGATACGAATACAGAGTTAGTATACTCTAATATAAAAATAAATACAAATATTTAGAGAGGAAGCCACATCAGCCTTATCTGGTTTTCATACAGGTCCTCTATCCTGGTCAAATTGGAATTTGGCGATGTTGGTTTTTGTGGAGGGAGGAAAACCAGAGAACCAGGAGAAAAACCCTCGCAGCAAGGCGAGAACAACAACAAACTCAACCCACATATGGCACCGGACCGGAATCGAACCCGGGCCACATCGGTGGGAGGCAAGTGCTTTTATCACTGCGCCATGCCTGCTGCCCCTATATAAAATATAGAATAGAATATAGCTCCTGTTTACCGCGCTATTGGAGCTGAGCGTGCATTTTTTTTAATAGACGTACGACTGGAAATTATAGCGCACATATATCCCGGATGTTGTGTTGTCAGCGCAACCACCGCCCCTTCTATGTAGATATTTTTCCTTTTTCATGCTTTATTCTAAACCATAAAGAAGATGATGTTCCTATGTTTTCTAATAAAAAAACTGCTGAACTGCTGTCCACTAGCAGTTTTTCTAGACCTCAAGCCTGCATTATTTTCTAGAGAACATAGAACACCATCTTCTCTTTGTAGGTATTTTTCCTATACATTTCTGAGGCAATTTTCTTTCTCGATGGCTCTTTCCGGTCGAAAACCCCGGCAGGATAAGGATTTTGGCTCAAAACGTTTTACAAAGGCCTGTTTTGACTGTTTTAGATTCTATAGCATTAAATATGACATTAGAGAAACAAAT